GTACAGTGAAATAACCGACAGCAAAAGATGTTCTAGTTCTAGATTAAAACATACTATAATGTGCTCAAAGCTTTATTGTCCCTTTAGGTTGTTGTTTTAAGCTACAGTGGAATATTTTCTGAAGTCCTGAACAACTGTTTCCAATTTAGAATTAAATGTGCTTTCTGCTTATAGTAGTGCTGCTGATGCAGTGTACCTAACAGGCCTGTCACTTTTCTTGGGCAATTGTTTCTGTAGCAGTGTTTTCATTGGTAAATATATGAGCTGATAGCAAAGGAAATCATTAGGTGCTCTCAGTATTGCTGAGGCATGGAGCTAGAGCAGGTCAGTCACTGCATTTTGCAGATTGTGACATTTTAAATTACCTGTGCGCTACTGGAAGCAATCTGTGGACCTAATTAACATCTCACCTAATTAAAGTTAGGACCGTACGTAGAGAATTCTAGATAGTTTTGCACTGCCTTTATTTATTAAATATCATATTATTCAAATTAGCATCTTTAATTTCAGTATTGAAAACTTCAGATTTGTGTGCTGTTTTCTTAAGTGGGAGTAACTTTTTTTTTTTTCTCCTTCAAGTAATCAATGCACTGCTGAATGAGTTCATTTTAATGCACTCAATCATGCCTCTAATGTTTGTAGCTTACGGGCGCAAGCATCAGTAATGCAGGAATGTTATATGGCTTTAGTTTGGGCCATTTCATAAAATATTCATGGAATCAAAAATGTGCATCAAAATAGCGGCTGGGAGAATTACATTTATGTGCCTGCTTTTATGGCAGCTTCACATTTAAACCCATTTGTGTTAATATCTAGTCAATCTTTCTACTTAAAAAAAAAAAAAGGCAAAATAGTAGTCTCCATATATACCCCTTTTGGTTTGATATCTATTTTGATATAACAAATGTGTACTTTTGGATTGGGTTTTAGGAAGGGGAATTATAAAGGAAGTTTTAGAGAATATAAAAACGTTTCTCTTCAGTATTTACAAAATTACATAGAATTATTTTGCTTGAATGAATAGATTTATTTTTTTACTTCGAAGCAACTCAGTGAAAACTGTAGCACAAATCTTAGTGCATACATACATGTAGTTTCTATGAAAATACAAGGAATTTCTAAAATTTGAGACTGTTGGAGCTGAGTAATGTCTTATATTCATATAATTGTTTAAAACCATTTTTTTGCTCCCAAAATTATATTGTGACAATGTTGGCCTCCCATATTTAAGATTAACTATTGCTGACAGGGTTTCTTTTGTTACGCCCTGAGTTATATTAAACTGTACAATTTTAGTAGTGGTAGTACATATGTTGTAAGAGTTACCTTTCTGGTTTTTGATTCCTTTTATAAGAAAGGAAGAGATATATCAGAGATTCTCAAATTCCATTTAGTATCCACACAGCAAAATTCTGCATGGCACTATGAGAAGAAACATACAATTGCTATTAATGTTGTCAACTTTAAATAGCTTTACTGCTTGGTGTAACATTTTGCAAATAGATTTTTCAAATATAGACTTCCTAGAAACACCTTCTGGATTTTCTCTTTGAATTCCTAGAGATAAAAAAATACATTTCTGCAAAGTGTTCCAAGTGATTTTTCCTACTCCATTGTTTTTCCTCTCATTTTGCTTTTTTTCTCCTTTTTTTTTTCAGTTGATAATAAAAGTCATTTAACACTCTGCCTTGTCACTGTTCAAGTGAGATAAAAATGCTCTTACTCTCAGAAATGTTCTGCAATTGGCTTATTACTTTCTTGTAATGTTTTTCAAGATTTTCAGGCAGCATCTACATATGTCTGCATGTGTGCCAGCAGTTGCAGTAGTTCAGTGTTTAAAAAGTGGATTGCACAGACCAGATCAATTCCAGCTGAACTGACTCATGACAGGGAATAAATGTGCTGTCCCCTTGAAAAGATAGTTTTCCCACAACATTTGAGTTCCACATAAACACTACGGATTAAAGAAATAGGCTGATATGTCATTTGCCAATGGCAACAAGGGATTTCAGATTATTTTCATGGAATTCCAAATTCTAAAATGTTTTACTGTCCATGAATTTGAGAAGTTTTATTTAAAAGAGTCTTCAGTAAGCAAATTTGTAGCCACATAAGGGCTTTCAGGTCAGTAATTCCATCTCTTCCTTGTTTAGGGAACTAGCAAGTGTTTTGGCTTTTGGCTCAGCATTTTGTTTTTGGTATTTCTGCGAGCAGATTGTTTTACTTTTTACTTCATAATCATGGTAATTCAGTGAAGCCAAATGTAGTATGGGTCCATTTGACTATTACCGAAAAGGTTATATTGCTTTTTGTATTTTGAAGCTTGATGTAGATGAATTGTTTCCATAGAGGTTTCACTGAGACCTGGTAAAAAGAATGTCAGGTCACAGTTCTTATGGTTTGGTCAACTCTTGAGAACTATGGAGTACATGGAATGTGTGAGTTCGATTTTTTTTTTTTTTTTCAGTCTGACAGGGACTTTCTCAGGGGATACTGTGAGTGAGAAAGCATAGGAAAGATCTACCATACCTGATAGTTCTAACAATCTAAACAATAGTTCTTAAGGTTGCAGGTATTATTTACCTAAATGATGTGTCCCATTAAGAGATTATATTACAGAGTTTTAGGAGAAACTCAGATACTTTGTTCAGCTTCAAATTAGACATCCAGGTGATATCACTCATTTGTTTGCTGCCTCCCATTCATACTAAAAGTTTGTGAGTAACACATGAATCAAATTCTATTATTCTAAAGAATCCATACACATCTAGTGGATCCAGATCACTGACATGTAGGACAATATCCTTCCAAAAGAACAATCAATTCATTATTGAACTTCGGGAAGAATTTCAAGTAGGAGTGTGTATGTGCTTGTGACTATACAAGTGACTACAAGTGTGACTATACAAAGTGCTAGATCTAGCTACTAATGTTAAATTTCAACTCAACTTTCCATCATTTTTCACAAAGCCAAAACCAACTTCTTCAATCAGTATCTTAAATCTGCATTTACCAACTTAGATAAGCGGAATTCCGAGTTGATGGTTCCCTAAGGAGTTAGCTGGACTGGACAGGCAGAAACTCAAATTCAACTGGAAGCCTCTGAAGAATGGACAGGAGTTTTCATCTGGCTTTAGCAAGTCTATATCTCTATTTCCTGTTACACGTACTGTCAGTGAGTCCCTAAACCACTTCTACTGGTTGTGATAATTTCCCTTCGCATTTCTGTTTGTTCAGTCCGATGTCAAGTATGTGATATTTTGGAAAGAATGTATAGATCTTCTCCTATTTTCCCAGTGGTTTAGGGACCACCTGTCCCATACCTGTCCCTAGCTAGAGTAGAACTGAATAAAGCCTGCTGGGTGCCCTTTCACCTGGCACTTCACTCTTCAGCACTTGTTGTGTCCTCTGGGACTCTTACATGAATCACGGGTCGTACAGCCTTAAAATAATTTGTCTGTGAAACTCATTTGATTCGTTGCCTCGTTGAAAGAGAAGTTTCTTCTGCTTGTCAGTTTTAGTTGAACTCATTTTAATCACCAGAGAAGCTTAATATGAAAATAAATTTAATTCTAATAAAGATGAGTTATGCTTTATATTGCAGAGTTGAAAGCATGGTTATAAAGGGGTAACATATGCAAAAGACAAATCTAAATTGAGTTAATAAGAGAAATCTGTCATAGCTGTTCTGCTGCCTCTAGGTTGGCTAGAGGCCTGGGGAACTAGCTTCATTTTCTCTAGGAATACTTAAAGAAGATCCTTCTCCATGCTTTTCTCCCTTTTTTTCCTACAACTTTTCTCCTTCCTGGTTCTTTTTGCAGTTTGAATGCTGCACTGTAAAAAAAACCCTGCAAAACAGTAATAGTTCCTTATGAATCATGTTTCAGAAGAGGTGTAAGCTACAAACTAAATGAGTTTAGTTTATAGTTTGTTTCAGCTTTTAATAGAAATAGCATTTGATAGTATTAATGATCTATGGGACAAGATTCCTCCATCACACACACACAAACTCATGAAGGCAGGGTCACATTCACCAGTTCTCCGTGCTATAGAATATTCTCTGTTAACCAAGGTACTGTGACCAGAATGGGGTTTTTTTTAATTATTTTCAATGTAAATGGTCTCACCTGCTTCACAGCAGTTTTTCTGTACCCATTATGTATGAGGAAAAGCTTTTCTGTTCTTTCCAAGGGCTTTGAATGTCCATTGTCCAGAAAACATAGAAAGCTCCTCGACTGAATTGTATGCACAGAGATAAATCTAAATGAAGGTGGAAGGAAAACTACTTGCATGTTAAAATGAATGAACTCTATCGTCAAACTTTTCTTTGCCTTAAAGATATTTGAGTAACTTATTGAAGACCTTGAAGTATATTACTTCAGGCTCAATAATTAATTTATCAATGGTTAATGCTCTTGCAGTAAATCTACTAGATAAACTCACCAGAGCTGGCCTGGTAATAATTGTTGAATAAATTACTTTGCATAATAATTCTTTTTTCATCAATTAATTTATTTGAATAAAGATTATTATTTTTTCCCCCACAGTTTTGGTACTTTTATCCTCCACATTTCAAATCTTTCAGCACAGGTTTTCATTATGGAAAAAGAAACGTAAGGAATGGTTTCAATTGTGATTATTTATGCATAGATGTAATTTTAATATATGAGAACAACAAAGGCTTTATTCATGAATATAGAATAAATTTACTTTCTAGAAAATTCTGACTTTGCCTTCTTGGGATCACACCCCCTTAACATTGTGAATCTACAAAGGAAAGATCATTTAAAATGTGATAAACTGTAATTATAGCATTACTGGCCGCTGTGAGATTTGACAATTTTTTCCAGTGATCTGTGAGTTACGTATTGAAGATTCTTGAAAAATCTGTGAAATGTTTGGCTGCAACTTACTTTCTAATAATAAAATTATTATAATCTACTGACTTTTAAAATTTTTTGTTGATTGAACTGATCTTAATTATGAATGACATTTTTCAGGTCATGTCATGGAAGCTGCTGAGCATTATGAAGCATTTTATCAGCTAACAGAGGGATCATCATGGACGGATGAGACAGGCCATACTTACAATTTACTGGCATGTGAGCATCTCTGGAGAATTTATACATTACTAGCAGACAAAATGCTAGAAAATAAAGAACACCAAGAGGCCATCAAAACACTAATAAAAGCTTTAAAGATGGCAAAAGAAGGTAGGTGGAAAATAATGCTTTCCCATCCCTTTATTCTCTGTGAATGTCATGATGTTCCCAAGAGTAAAGTAGAAATTGTGAAGTGTTTGGGTGATTATTTCCTATGAAATTCAAAGACAAATGCTATCAATACACTTGCAGATCTCACTAAGGCAGAAATGCCTTCCTGCTGACAGCAAAGAAACTTTTAGATTCCTCAAAGCTTTATCTCTAAACAAACCTGACAATCTTGTGGGAATAATAATGTAAAACTGTGAACCCATAATCAGAAAGTGAGGTCACTGATGGAAGCTTAGGTCACTGATTTTGATTGGCTAGTCACTGTTGATTTGGCAATTTTTGAGTGATATTATCTGCCAGAAAATGACCTTTTCTCTCTACATAGTTATTTAGTACTTGCAAAAAAACCAGTTTTCTTCTTCTGAATATCTTAATATACATAAATACTCTGAAACCTAAAGTAACAAATTAGAGAATCAGAGAATAGCGGAGGTAGGAAGACAGACCTCTGGAAATCATCAGGTTGGCTAGAGCAGTCTGCCCAGGACTAGATTGAGTCAAGATTTTAGTATTTCCACAGGTGGAACCTCCATAACCACTCTGGGAAACACTTTCTGCTGTTCAAACACCCTCACAATTACAAAGTGTTTTGTTGAGTTCGGATAGAATTCCATTTTGTGCCTTTTTCTTGTCCTGTCGCTGAGCACCACAGAGAAGAGTCTGGTTTCCTCTGCTTTCCTTATGCCAAAGAGGTACTGATAAGATCGCCCCTGAGCCTTCTCTCCTGTGGTCTCAATGGTTCCAGTTCCCTGAGCCACTCCTCCTAGGAGAGATGCTCCCAGTCCCTTAAGTCATCTCTGCAGCCCCTTGCTACTAAACTCACTCCGCTATGTCCCTCTCTCTCTTGTTCTGGGGGGCCCAGAATGGGACACAGAACTCCTGGGATCAGCACACCCTTGCTAAATAGTGGCAAAGGATCACCTCCTACATAACCTGCTTGAAATGCTCTGCCTGATGGAGCCTGGGATCCCATTGGTCAGTTCTGCCATGAACGGGCATTGCTGCCTCATGGACTCGCTGTCCACTCGGAAAGTGATGTCCTTCTCTGCTGAGGTCCTTTCCACCCAGTCAGCTCACAGCCTGAGCTGGTGCCTGGGGTCGTCCTGCCCCAGGTGCAGGACTGTGGATTTCCCTTTCCTGACCTTCATAAGACTGCCAAAGTCCCTCTGAATGGCAGCACAACCACCTGCCTTCTGGATCAACCCTTCCTCCCCAGTTTTGTATTGTCCGCAACATGCTGAGGATGCACTTGGTCGCCCCAATCTAGATCATTAATGAAGATACTAGTCAGTATTGGTACCAATATTGATCCCTGAGTACTCCACTAGTGACTGAGTGACTGGCCTTCCACTGGACCTCATGCTGCTGCTTACACCCTGTTGAAGGCCAGTAGCTCCTCTACTTTCGGTTTACCTCCCTGTTTATCTAAGTGATCCTTCATCAGAACCCATATGAAGATGTTATGGGAGATGGTGTCAGAAGCCTTGCTAAAACTGAGAAAAAAAAACCCACTCTTACCTTCATCCATCAAGCCTTTCATCTTATCATAGAAAGCCATCAGGTTGGTGAAGCACAAATTTCCTATTTGAAATCCATGGTGACTACTCCTGATTGCTGCCTTGTTCTAAGAAACGGCTCTATGAAGCTTTGCCCATTTTGTGTGGATAGGTTTAGGATTGGGGGAATTAGAATAGCATTTGAATGCTACATGTAATGTGAGATGCTGATCAGCTAGAAATACTGTGCTCTGGAGCTTTTTTTTACATATGAGAGGAATGGAAAAAAGAAAGCAAATCTTGCCAGTTGACTTTATGAAAACACACATATTTTTCCAGATTTTTTGGGGGGAAGCTTAATAATGCTTGTTTCTCGAAAGATACTGTTAATGGTCCACTTCTACAGAATTACTTTTTCTGGATGATTTTCCTAGATGGTTATTGGAGGGCTTCTCAGAAGTAAGATAGCAGTTTTCCAATAGTAACCTTTTTCCATTCAATTCACAGCAATTCAAGAACCTTTCATGGTATTCCTTAAGGGGCATATTTTGCATGTGAATTGCACATACAATTAATATATAATATTAATTCAATATTTATAAGCAGATACATTAGATACATTTTTTTAATTTAATAATGTATGCCCAACATTAATCTGTTTCCGAGTCTTTGAGTAATAGTTGGGATAGATAGAATTAAAATATCAAAAAGGGCCAAAAAAATTTAAAATATTTTCCAAATTTTAAAATAAGCTTTGCTACAAATGAATATGTGACTATACAGGTAGATAGTATAACATAGCATTCCACAGAAAAGTATAAAATGTATTCAATGAAACAAAGAAATAAAAAGAAATACCTTTATTAGGCCTGTTGATACTCTTGGAAAAAATGAACAAGCTTTCGGGCATCTAATCCTGTGTGAATTTTGCTGTTTATTATTTTTAAAAGTGCTAGCAAATTATTTCTGTTTCAGGGGATTTTATTCTATAGTCTTTGACTTCAGTAACTCTGAAGAACCAAAATTTCTTATCTTGCCTTATCTCATGAAGGGTAATATTTTAAAACACCATTTGAAATCCAAATGCTTTTCTGTTGTAATTTTGGGGAAATAAACTGAACAGGACTTGGGGGGCAAGGATTCAATTCTTTCCACACTGAATGTTTAATTTGTGAACTATATGATTGTATTTGGCTGTTTTTTTCTTTTAGTTAAATCACTAAATAACCTATTTTTGGTTTATGTGCATTTTAGTAGATCTGTTTTGTTAGTTGCCTGTTTAGAACTTTTCTCTTGGGAGAATGTACCCGAATACTGAGAATGCCAATACAATCAAGCAGCTGAAGAAGGATACATGTACCCAATAACTTCTCCATTTCTTTCAGCTGCATCTGTTGATCAAGTACAAGCTTTTAACTTTTTCTGTAGCTATTGTCTCTAATACATGCTTAAATCACAGCTGGAGTAAAACTGCTGCTGCTAATATTTACTCAAGTAGCTGTAAGAATTGTTGATGAAATTTCCCATCAACGACTTCTTATTGCGAGGGAAAACTGCTGGAAATTAAGAGATTGTCAAAATGGATCTGATGTCTTCCACAACTTACTTTGACCAGGCAGATGTTCCAGTGCCATTACTTCAACTCAATCATTTTCAATAGTTTGTAAGGCATGTATTAAATATCACTATGCACAGTATACTTGCTGTTTTTCTCTTTAAATTTTAGAACTTCTTTCTGAGGAGTTCTCCAGTCCTCATTCCAGAGGAGTTCTCCAGTCCTCATACCCATACTGGGTGTGAGATGCCATCTCTAATGTCCATTCTGTCCTTCTGGACCATCATCTGGGGTTATGTATTTTGTGAATTAGAATTAGATAGTACCCACTTCAGACTCTCAAACTGTTCCTGAGCGAGGAAGAAAGTTTTTTACATCCCTAGCAACTTTGAACATTATTCTTTTGTAAAACTGCATTTTTGTACCCTTTGGCCTTATTACGCCTTTTAAGGGATATTGAGTATTGTGGGAAAAAATGAGGTTTTTGATTTACAAGCTTTTAATAATTTTAAGTAACTTATTAAGTGCTACAGATAGAGCACTGCTATGGCCTCAGCAATTGCTATCAGTCAGGGAGTTCCAGAACTAGATGTAGGCTTCTGTGTGTTTGGACAGAAATAATTAGTCTGACAATTGTAAGCAGGTAATCTCCCTTTTCATTGCAACTATATTAATTTATGCATTTTACAAACTACCCTGATATGCAGTAATGCTTCAGGTTGATTTTTCACTGTTCAATGTGTTCAATGAAGTAGATTGATATTGAGCAAAAGAAAGATTTTTGGCTCTTTTTAATGTAATTTTATCTACAAGTTTTTTAAATGGATACTTATGTTCTGGAGGGAAATTTCTGAATATAGTGTGATATAGTAACTACTTCTATAATTAACACATATTTATTTCAGTATTGAATTGATGTTTTTCTATTGAGGCTAAAATAGCTAAAAAGACCAGCAAGCAATTTGTTAGATCAGTATCAGTGAAACAAAACCTGGCATGAAAAAGTGTGATGTACCTCAGTTAGCAACGGCCTGTGCAGAATTTTCTATAACTACTGCTTGCAAGAATAACTTACCTATTTTTTTAGCTATTTTAGCCTACATTAGCTTGTAAAATAGCCATGAGAACAAAAGAGATGAAACTGGTCTACTAATGGTTCTCTCTTGATGTTTCACTAAGGTTCACGTTAGCAAAGTGCATGGATCAACATGTATTCTGTGTTTATATATTAGGGTGTATTACATATCTGTAGCTACTTTTTATTTTGAGTGATTTTCTGAAGTGAAAACACTAGGACTATTATTAAACACTTAGTGACAGAGAACATTACAGCATGTTAATTTGATTTTACTTCATTATTGAAAGATATTTTCTCTGACTTTGCTGAACCTTCTTGTTGAACTTTGTTCAAATCCATCGCCTCTCTTTTTAATTACCACTGGATATTTTTGGGTAGAGATAAATGGCAGGGGTAAGGAGAAGGAAAAATTCACTACAGTATTTTAACATCTGTATAGTATATAAGAACCTGCAAGAACTGTCTGCACTCATGTCATTTAGTTCAGCTTACATTGGTAACTGTAACTTTAATCCTTTCTTTAGCAGGTAATGTGAAGATGGAAGGAGAAGCTGCATATTGCTTAAGTTTGGCATATCATTTTTCTGGAGAACAACAGACAGCATTATCAGTAAGTTTATTTTAAAGTTGCTTTAGCTTTCTCAGTGCCTTTCTCTGCCTCCTTGGCATCTTAGGCACTTGGAGAGTGGAAAAGACTTGGAGAGACTTGGCTCACAGACCTTTTATATCGAGTTCTGTAGGCAGGGATCCATGTGGCTTAAGCACTTCTGGTTCCAGTAAGTTCCAGAACTGATGGAGTCCAGGTTTTCATACTTGGATCTGTAGAAATAATATAAATTGGCGATTCAGTTTATATGTAACTAGCTTTCCTTTTCCTGTATCTATGCATATATAAAACAGTTTTTATTTAGTTAGGGTTTTGTAAAAACACCTTTTTTTTGCAGATAAGTTTGATACAGTGTATTTCTGAGCAACAATGAAAAATGTATCAATTCACATGTTGAGTTTTTCAGAACATCAGGAATTTAGAAGAAGTATGAATTGCTTTTGGTATGAAAAGCTGTAATGATGATGCAATACCTTTTGTTGATACTTGAGTTCAAACTACTGTTCTCTTGTTTCCCTTGAGCCTTAACAATTCTAAGACAATGAGAGTTCTACACGTGGAATTCTTGTCTGGAAGGAGGGTTTCTCTAATTCCTCATAGATTCAGTGTGAGAGGAAAGATAAACAGCAACTTGATTTGTTTGTGCCAGTCATCAGAGAAGTCACAGTCCTCCGTGATCCTCTTAGAAATATTCTGTGGAAAATTAATTTGTTTGAATATTTTGTCCTTGATTATTGCAATTAATCAGCTGGATAATTATTATTTCTATTTGTTCCTTTAACTGCAGAGTGACTCAGTGTTCTATTAGTGAGCATGATTTATAGAGGTCATTCATTGTGGGTATTTGTTACGATGGTTTATTTTTTTTTCAGAAATAGACCACTAGAAGTCACAGAATGAGTTCAGCATACATTTCACTATTACTTGCATGGCCTCTGCAGTGTAGGAGGGGTTCTAGATTTCTGTCTCAAGATGTCCTTTACATGCTTTTTGTCATTTGTGATATGATTTTTCTAAAAGTTATTGACCATCTTTATGCATAATTCTTCCATGCTGATAGGCCTATCTTCTATATAAGTCAACTGAATTCTGGAAAGTGGGAGCCTGTTCTCACATCCATTCCCATTAAAGTCTGTAGATGAATGTCAAAATATTTCAAAATTTAAAAACTCTGTATAATTTTATAAAATTGTATCTAATAGTTGTTACACCAATGAGAATATGATATTTTGTCTCTCCCAGGAATACAGTATGATAGGCTAGACTAGAATTTTTTGTACTGCAGTTTACCTGACATTGTTTTTTGACTGACAAGTGTGTTGGCGTTCTTGCCTGAACAACTTTTCTGTTAATTTTCTGGGAGTCACAATACACTGTTTGAATTATGAAGATAAGCAAATGTGCTGAATAGAGAAGCCTGCATACATGCTTGATCTCTCCATCACAGGAGAAATTAATGATTGAACAAGACTGCACAGTCTCCTGGATATACAAAGGATCAAACTACCCTTGAAAGTGTCAAAAATATTAGGTGTCCTGGCATTATTTCCTTAGGATCAATTGTGTCTGTATTTTATTACTACTCCCTTCCCTTCATTGCTCCCCCATGTCTCCTGTCAAAAAGTTACAGCAATCATTTGGAAGTTCTATTTCTTTTTGTTGTATGCGGAATTTTTTTTTAAGGGAGCTTCTGAAACCTTGAATTTTGTAATATACTGCTTACTACTATTAATTTAAAATATATAAATAATAGGTTGTGCCTATTGTTTTTAGTCCTACAAACCCCCCAGACAGTTAAGGAAAGCAATGTGCAATTATGTTAAAAGAGCAAGAAGGTCTCTGTAGTACAAAACAAATGATACATTATTTTAAGAGTATAAAATGTTATTTTAACAGTAAGGAAAATACCAATACTTTTCTGTGTCAATAATATAGTGGCATTTCCTGATATAATGGCATTTCCAATAATATTACATAAGAAACCTATCAAGTACTTTCCTTCAGAAAATCCACTGTGTGCTATGGGATTTAGAAAAAGGGGTACAGTTTTATTTCTTGTTGTCTTATGGTCAACACAGACAGCAGTAAAGTAGCAGTGGTTGATGGTAGCGTAGAGCACAAGTTGTCTTCGCTCTCCAATTGGAAATCATTGCCTAAGATTTACCCTTCTGTTCTCAGTTTAATGGTCTCTGTATCCAAGGGGAGCTCAGATGCTTACGGAGATGAAATCATTGCATCCTGTTCCCAGAGGAGCACTGGTTATCATTACACATAACATGCAGACAATACTGCTTGGAGCCAGTTTGCCTCATGGTAATATGTAGTTCATCACCAGCTTCTGTAGCATGCTAAAGAGGTCTTGCCACACAGCTTGGGACTATTCGGGTGTAGACTCAGGGGTCTCAGCAGTTATTTCCCTGCTTTGCATCAGTTTTCATCTTCTTTATCCTTTTGTGCTGTGGTCCACCTCAGGCAGTCTCCTTCTAGGGGAATCTGAAAGGAGCAGCTGTTACAGACACCATTTCCTCCAATTGTTGCCACTTGGTTCCCTTTGCTCTTTAGCCTGCTGCTCCCTCCCCCAACATGCACACTCAGTAGAATGCATATGAACTTGTTTCTCTTTCATTCATGTCTTCTAGCAGAGCGGAGAAGCATATGTTCAAAATAGTCATTATCTGATGCAGTAATTAAAGGTTGAAATGATTAAGCTGCAGCCTATTCTATGAAAAAAAATATGCAGTCACTTTGTATCGAATGGGCTAGTTTTGTTAGAGGAGGTTTTTTATTTTCTGGGCACTTGGTGTTTAATCTAACGTGATTTGATTTGGTGTGTAATCTGTATAAATTAGTTTAATTTTATTTGATATATATGATTGATTTCAGTGGAGCCACTCAGATGTAAAAATATAAGTGTGTGCAAGTTTAAAAGCCTGAGAACTAATTATGTTCAATAGCAGTGGGGTATGTTCATAATATTTTTCGTATCATCTGGTTTATAATCAAGCCTAATAGCTTTTCAACAAAATACTAATAGTTCACATTATATAGATTTTATCTTAAGCATTATAGATTTTGTCAGGGAGAGTTCTCCATCTAGGCTAATTTTAAAGTAAAAGTTACTCTTGTTTTTTCTTCACACTCATTATATAAGCTGGGTATTAAGTGAGACGCTTCTGTGTCATTAGAAATCTTGCAGAAGGTATTGTAATGCAATGCTTGATGTGGGAATGTATTTTTTTTAGACTGGGCTTTCAAGAATGCTTCAAAGTGTAGGGTACCATGGTTTTTTTTTTTTCCAATTAGAATTGCATCCCAAATCATTAGGAAAAATCCAGCCCTCATTCTTCATCTAAGTGTTAGTTTTTTTCTAAGTATTCCTTTATTTTGGATATTGAATCCCGTGTGTCATATATATTACATATTTAAACAATGGAGGCAGTGTTCATGAGTACCTGAGATTCATGCCAAACTAAATGTGCTAATTTATGACATAATGCTATCTGCATGAATTGTCAGAATTACGATATACAAGCCACAGGCACAAAATTATCAAGAAAATTTATGAACTTACAAAGACATCTTCACATTCAAAATGACCCTATTAAAGTAATCAGAGGTGATTTATGGCCATAAACTTAATTTCTGAAAAATTCTGTGTCAAAACAACTGGAAATTTTGTCTCAACTCATGCAGCTAGAGAGAATATAAGTGTAGCTGGGGTGCAGGTATTCTGAACTTAGTATGTACAGTATATTTTATCTAATTGTATCTATTATATCCAGTTATATAGATTATGCCTGTATGTATATATGTATGGGCTTGGTGAATCAAGGAGGAGCTTAGCAAGTAAAAGAACTCCAAAAGGTAGAGTGACTGTTATCCTCTTTTCTTCCAAACGTTGTGGAAGGTGGTTGAGAAGAATGAGCATCATTCCTGTGAGGTTTGCTTACTATTCTAGTGCTTTACTAGAAGGCTGAACTTCAAGATGTTTTTTTGTCAGTGTGTCTGTCTGGGTTTAGGTTTACTGTCTGGATTTACTGTCACCGAGTTTAGGTTTAAGCTTTCATTACTGTTACCACAAAAAAAACCCCGCTCAAATGGAGACTCACAATACACATTAAAAGATACTATTCAATGGAAATTATTTCTAACTTCTTTCTTTAAATCAGCCAGCTTGTCCTTTATTCATCTCTAAGTGATATTTAGCCATTAGTAAAGAAGTGTAACATTTTCAGCTTAGCAAATGGCATCATGTACTTGAAAAAACATTTTGGCATACCAGTTTAGGAAAAGGTCTCATCCCTCCTAGAGGCTTCACTTTCATTGAAGTGATTTTTAAATTGTTCTTAAAACTGTATTCATGTAGGAATTTAGTGGTTTTCATATCTGAGGAATGAAAAACCAGACAAAACTCTGAGTCACCTTTGAAGGTAGGCACTTCTTATTGATGTTAATACTCACAGTGGATTATGTAAAGAGAAAGGTGTGAACCAATCCTGAAACTGGTTAAATTTCATGTTTCTGAAGTGTCCCACTGCTGCTAGACATTGCTGAAGATAGTACAAACAAAATTATGTGAGAAAATTAGTATTGGGAGTGGACTTTGTCCTGACAAAATCTACTGACTCAAATACTGAAGGAATTAAGAAACTAAAAATTATTTGTATTGAGAATCATAAAGAAGACCTGAAACTTCAGGAAAGAGGTGAACGTCTGATCATTCAACTAATTTTTCTGATGTTACTTTAGAACTTAATTCTTAAAGTGAAAGAAAGATCTAACGTCTTTATTTGGATACGAAAGTTAACATTCTCTTAGTGAAGTAAGAATTTCTTCTGTTGGTTTAATTTAAATAATGTTTTTCCTATCTTAACCATTTTCTGAGTAGCCCTGAGATGCAGTAATGCTGCTTTCCTTCAATACTTTTCTGTATACCACACAAATTTGTACCTTGGTGTTATGGTGTCCACTACATTTGCCTTGAAACATGGCATTGTTTTCCT